GTCCGCGAGGCTTCGCTGTTCGATGCGGCATAAATTGGTTTTGTCGTTAATGAACTTTGTAAACTTTTTAGTCGCATAAACTCTGGGGCATAGTTCACGTGGGCAGAGGGGCACGTGGGGCACGTGGGCACGCGTGGGTGTGGCAAATGCCAGATGATGCAAAAATATTCTCGAATTTATTCTGCGGTGGACACTTTTGTATGCGTGAGCGGATTGGCCATAAATTTCCTTTCATATGCAAGTGCTGGAATCGGCATCTCTATATTTCTCTAGAGACATTTTGAGACTGAGAAAGTTCAAGAGCAGCCGACTGTATTGGAGGAAAATCTTTCAGCAACTTGATGAGAATTTATTAGCCTTGGTATGCATTTATTTTCCATTCAAAGACTTTCTTCTTAGTTTCCCATATTTTGTGTTTTTTTTAAAGAATATTTACTAATTTATATATAATAAATATAAATATAAATATAATAATTTATATGCAATAAATATTCTGTATTATTAAAGGGTCCTTCAAGTGAATCAATGCAATTAGCGTTAAGGCTTTCACAGGAACCTAAAGACCAAAAAATCTGTTAGAGCTAGCATCCTTAAATACTAAGAGGCAGGATGTGGCAGAGGACGGGGACCGGGACCTGGGACCTGGGACCAGTGGCAGGCAGAGTGGTAAAAGCATCAGAGACAGAAGAAGAGCCACATAATGCCACTTAATTAGCGAACACGGACACAGAAATACGGACTACCACAAAGGCAAACACATGCTTAATGCACATTAAGAGAGAGAGAGAGAGAGAGAGAGAGATGGAGAGAGAGGGAGAGGGAGCTGGGGCCAACGAAATTTGCCGCAAATCAAGAGCAACGAAAAAGTCAAGAAAAATTAAAAACTGGCACACATTCCAGAGAGAGAGGGAGACAAAGAGGGAGAAGAGGGGCAGCGGCAGCGGAAGCGGAAGGAGATGGCAAATGTGGGTCAACTACTGCGTTACCCATTGTTCATACACACACACACATACACACACAGGCACACACACACACACAAGCAAAGCTCGGCTTTAATGTCATTTGCATTTTTTCTATAGCCCAACAAAATGGGCAGCTGCTTTTGTCTGCAGCCAAGTGTGTGTGTGCACTGTATAGGTGTACTCTACGAGTGTGTGTGTGTGTGTGTGTGAGTGCAGAATTTATTCTTTCCTTTTACTTGATTTAATTGTGCATAAATATTTTCCCATTGCCATAGCTTCTGCATGCAAATTAGGCAGAGAGCAGAGCAGAGCAAGAGCACAGAAAAACTACAACTGACTTTAATGTCATGCAGGAGTCGCATTAGTGTGTGTGTGTGTGTGCGTGTGTGTGTGGCTTGGTAATGTCAAAGACAATCACAATTGTATTTTTAGTCGAGATTTGCAGTCTTAGAGGGATAAGCCGAGTTCAGGACGGGGCTTTGGCCTGTGCTAATGGCACGTCAGCGGAGCTACTCGTAGAGCCACCAGGATACAGCACACTCGCACATTTCACCACCAGGAGGAACGAATTTACGAGTCTATAAACCATCAGCCATTACATTTTCATGAGTCAGTTCTTTTTACACAACTTTTGGTCATTAAAATCCAGTTCTTAAATTTCAAACGTCCTATGGGACAACTAGCATCTGAGCTTTGCCATTGAAACATGGCTGGGATACTCTCGTATTCGAAGAAGCGGCAGAGAGCAGAATTCCTGCCAAGATAGGAGATTCGAGGACAGACAGAGGGAGGGCTTCCTCCCTGACCGCGAACCGTTGCTTTCGCGGCTCCGCCTGAGTCGGTCCCAGAATTCAAAAAGGTGCAGAAAAGACGTACTATTCGATCTGGTACTTTTACAGCTACAAATAGACAGCCTTTGAAGATCCGTCCATGCCAATGCGCCAAGATGAGGCATATTTTCCCCGAGTCTGGGACCGACTGCGCCTCGCCAAAGACTAGGTATTTGTTGTGGGATTCTGGGACGGCCTCAGCTGCTCAAGGCAGCCAACAGGAGGAATGGGGTTTGTTCCTTCTGAATGAATAGAATAGAAACAGCAGACTATTTGGCTAGGATAACGATGCCCCTTAGAAGGCGGAACCCCCTTGGTATATCAAAGCAACGATCGGTGGATCCGACCATGTATTTTTACTTTAGAAAAGTACAAACTCCGAGTGCAATTAGTGCTATAAAACAATCCAATTAAGAGGATGGATCCATTCAGCTTTCAGCCGGGAAAAGGGAAGAGAGCCGCGGCATGTGGGGGAAAGTAATGCGTTGAACGATAATCGAAAATGATACTCTCGGCCTTTACTTCCCCTCGACTCCACTCCACTCCACTCTAGGGCAGAGCAGTGCAATCGAGTAGGAAATTAAATGCAGTGACAAATTGCACAAATTACGAGTGCAAATCCTGTGCAGCCGCTGCCACTGCCACTGGGAATTGCACTCTAAATTTTAAACTGCCAAATGCGGCAATTGCAACAAATTGCAAATGCATTTTAATTGCTGCTCGCAGCGTCGGATGGCATTTTTTTTGCTGGCAAACTGGAAACTAAAACACAACTAAATAGAAGCCATCAAGGGGGCGGGAAGGGGGAGGCTGCCGCCCCCCTGCTTGCCATTCCATCGGCACAGGACTAACGAGCAACATTGTTGTTGATGATGACAATGATTAGATGCGATAATGCAAATGAGTCAACAACGATGAGTCCTTGGCTCCTGCTCCCAGCTCCCAGCTCCCAGCTCCTGCTCCTTCTCTCCTCTGATGATGACGTTGCATCACCAAAAAATTTGCATGCCAATGATACATGGCTCTCTTGCCCTGCATCTATGCATCCGTATATTCACTTGTGGGCGTGTCAGAAACGGGCGTTTACAGCAACGACAACGATGAGGTTGTCGGCGACAGGACGGCCTGGGAGACCGTTGATGACGTGTGGTTGTCATTAGAGGACCACCCCACAACAATCGCCCAACCGCCTCCAACCCGCCCCAACCGCCCCACCCGCCCGACTGCCCAACTGTTGGGTATCCTAGTTCCTCGTCCTGTTTTGCATCGGTATCACTGTCACTGCCACTGTCACCATCGCTGTCGCTGTGGCTGTCGCTGCCGACAAAATGCCCACCACACACTGACCAAAAATGCATACAACATGGCACAAAGGGGCAAGGACCCTGGCTGGGGCTGTGGTCTTGGCGGGAGCGGGAGTCCCCTCCCTTTCCCCCCCCCGTCACTGGCTGGGCTTTAGCTTTAATTTAAGGTTGCAGTTTTTCGAATTATGTGCAGGCTGTTGCATAAAATGCTAATTTTTTAGACGCTCCTCCCCCACATTCATTTGCATAATAACTCGGGGGAGCCCTGGGGGCAGCCTGCCCGCCCCCTGGCTGCCCTCAATTATTGTTTGCCAACAATTCGAATGGGAATTTTTGTTTAAATTTCCAGCCCGTTTCCCCCTTTGGCTGTCACAACAAATAGCCAATTCCAATCCCAATCCACTGTCCCTGTCCCTGCCCCCCCTGCCCCCAGTGCTGCTCCAAATACGGCATCCTATTCCAGGCATATGTCGTTGCCCCACCCACGTAATGACATTTTGATGACACATTTTTTGTTGGTAGCGGGCCAAAAGTTGATATGGAAATGGCGAAAGATTGCACTGGCTAAAAATACAAAAAAATGTATCTTATAGAGACACCAGCAGCCACCCCAGTGCTCCCAGGACAAACAGGTGCGACCAGGATAATAGATTTCTTGCGTTAATTCCGTTTCCAGCCCCTCCCTCCCTCCCCCACCTCATTGCTGCTTAATGACTGCTCGGCAGGGCTATTAAATGGCCACTGGCCAAACAGCTGTTTCCTACAGCAGCAGAGAGAGTCCTGCCAGGATGCATTACGCACCCACTCATGCGAGCAGAAACCAAAAAGTGAGTTATCATGCAAGCACTTTTCTAATTACGATTTTGGGCAACGATTCTCCGTCGACGACTACGACTACGAATCCGAGACCGAATCTGACTCTGACGGCCTGTTGACTGCGAAAGGACATTTGGGGACAGGACCTGAGGCAGGCCCAGCGACAGACACAGGGACAACATTAGCCACTGAAATTTCCCCAGGCCAATGTTCTGCCCAGTTCGTTGTTGTTTCTGGCGATGTTGTTGTTGCTGCTGTTATGGATGCAACTTTAAATTGCTTTGCCAGTGAGTTTTTCTAACAGTTCTCCCCCGAGGCGAGCCGACAATGCAAAGGATTGCTACTAGCTGGCTCTGGGTCCGCCCTGGACTGGCTCTGGCCCTGATGCTGGTCTTGTCTGACATTTTCATCGTCTACTCGAATGTCTGTCTGCTGCACTCCTGTGGGGAATGCGCCACTGCACTGATTGCACTTTGCCTCAAAATTTCACAGACTAGAGATGTGTGCCAGTGCCGGTGCCGGTGCCAGTGCCAGTGGCAGTGGCAGGGCCAGTGCGAAGCTCCCAAAATGTCTGAGTGCGTAATGCGTTTTCATGGTGGAATGGGGGGGTGCGGGGCGGTGCGGGGCGGTGCGGGGCGAGATGAGGCTTGGGGCAGTTTCTGTGGTGCTGTGTTGCTGTGTTGCTGGGGGTGCTGGGGCGCAGAGGGAGGCCCCACAGATATGGGTGATAAAGTGCAGACATTTGACAAATTAATTGCTTTGCGTCATGCGCCGGAAATGTTGCAAATCTCGTGCCGTCAATCGATGCGCCACAAGGCGCCCCTCCAAATCGCCGGACTCCAGTAGAGCCTCGGCTCTGGCGCGTTCCGATTTGATTGATTTATGATGCTTGCCTCCCCCCTCCCCCCCTCACACACACACACTCTCAGACGACTCCCAGACAGACAGACGGGCAAAGACAAAGATGTACACAGACACGCTTGCTGCCTGCGAGGTGTGACATTTGATGCCCATCGTTATTGAGGGCCCCCCTCCCCCCCACATGAACGAAAATTAAAACAAAGGAAAAGGAAAACAAAAAGTCTTACTTGATTTTGATTAAATGCCAGCGAAAGCACATCGTCACTTACCTGGAAATAGAGAAGAGAAAGAGAACATAAATAAAGGAACAAAGTGGCATGGAACGCAGAATGTAGTTATTTGGAACAGCGGAATGAAACAATAAACGTTAGATACTCTTTAAATGTCGAACAATATGAAGGATGCGGCTTTTTCGGAGTTGGTTCAACAGAGGAGCCCACCAATGCCCATAAATAAAGCCCTCCACTCAGGTGGTACAGGTCTGGCCTGGACTCGCACCATTCTGGACCGATTCCGTGGGTAGTTGGTCGCTCCACCCCTCTGGCACGAGCACCACTCTCTTCGCTGGGTCCTTCCCTCTCCTGGGATGACATACATAAACATTAGCCAAAGCATATAATAACACAGCAACAAAGTCGCCGCAATGGGGCATGTGCGGAGGGTGCGGGTGAGCAGGAGGCGCTCAAATTGTATTTAGTCGTAAACTGCACACACGCACACACGGAAAAAGAGGAGGAAGGGGGGGGGGGGGGGGGAATCCTGTGAGGACACACCACACGGATAACATAAAACTATCGGGGACTGCGGGACGGCCGAGGCCATATAAGGGCCATAATTTCGACACTAATGCTAAGCCACAAAAAAATTGCCTCCTTGGCGACCTTGCGGGGGCTGGAAGTGGTCAGACTTTGACATGTGTCAAAGGAAACCCTCCTGATAGATGGAGAGAGAGAGAGAGATGGAGATAGAGTGTGCCCTGCAGTAACACCTGCGACCTTAGAGAGAGATCCGACACGAACCTCAATAAAAATCAACAGTTTATGCGAGACGCATGATGTCCTTGAGAGTGGGACGACGGGCGGGAAGCGATGGAAATGTCATTTTTACAAGGGGGCGAGCTCATCGAAAGGACATGCCGAACATGCCAAACGTGGCATCCTCCCACCCACCGACAGAGGACAGACGACCGACAGCCGTCTGGCAAATGTATTGCCTTCTATTTGCATTTTCTATTTATTTCTTTATCCCTTTTCTGGTTCTGGCTCTGGTTCTGTTCTTTTTTCTGCTCCTTTCTCGTGGCCGTTACTTCTGGGGTAGCGTCTGGGGCTTGGGGGCTGGGGTCTGGGGCAGCACTTGAGCTCGGGCCCGCCATTAGTGGCACGTCCTTGGATATTTCGTGTTTGTCCTGTCTTCCACTTTGGCACTCATATTTTATTAAGTAGCAAAGTTGACAAGGGATTTGCCCAGAGGAGAGCCAGAGGAGAGGAGGTTGGGATGCTGGGCGATTGGGCGATGGGGCGGAGGACCAGCCCACGAGGGTCTGTCATTTTCTAAAGTAAATATTGGTAATTTTTATAGGGGATTTTCCTTGATTTCCCTTTGAGCATATGGCTTATCCCGTAGCTGGACACAAACTTTGCCCCGAGCTCAAAATTAAGGACATTTATTTTTGGCCACTCGAACCCGAGCCCAAGTCCAAGTCCAAGCCCGAACCCGAATCAAACTCGAATATCATTAAGCGAAAGTGATTGCAGAAGATTCCCAGCCCCCCTGCCCCCCTGCCCCCCTGCTCCCCTGCCCCCTTCCCAAAAACGAATACCAAAGGCCGCCTGGCAACACTCGAAAATTAGAAAACGAGCAAATTATTAGAAAAGTTGTCTTGGTGAGACGCTGGTGGTGGAGAGGGGGATGGGGACAACGCTTCGTTGCACAATTTTGTGGACCTGCGGCGCAAATTTGTACAGAATGCAACAGACCGTAAGAGACAACATAAGCGATAACACAACAACCAGACGCAGACGCAGACGCAGACCTGGACTCAGGCCCGGACCCGGCCAGGATGTTGCCTCGAGTTGTGTTCACAGCGGTTGCTAACAGGATTTGCCACACCCGCAATCCTGCCTCCTGCCACCTGCCACTCCTCCCAGTCCCCGTTACCATGGCAAAGACTAGGACTGGGACTGGCATTGGGGCCAAGTGTCGATGCCTGGCATGGCGCACGCAAATTGCCAATCGGTAAGTGATTTCTGAGTCCGCTTTAAAGGTGCCAGTCGGAGAGTGGCGGATAATTATCCCTTAAGCTCCGAGCCACGCGCAAAGCAGCCTCTTCGCCACACATCATTTAACTCTGGCCCCAACCGGTTCAAGCCCTTAGAACCATCTAAGGAGCGTCTCTCTGTAGGGGCACGCTAAGAAGGAGGGGGAAGAGCGAGTGATTTTCTGTTAAAATATTTAAAAATCATGCCCGGAGCAAACGAGCCTTAAAATACACCTCAAGGCATCCGCCGGCAGTGGAAATCGGGAGAAAAGAGAGTGGAAGGATTCCGGCTCAAATATTCAAGGGGAGGGCACAGAGACGGCCCAGCTTTTGGCCCCAGAGAATCGAAAGTAGACACATACATTTATGTATGGATATACATATGTGGTTCCGATATAAATAAAATGCCATATTCCCTGACATGAATATTTAACAATGCAACAAACAACGAGACGGCCGCCTGTCGGCCCCACTGCATTGGTAAAATATCACAAAATATTCATTTCAGTTTCATTTTCCCTTCTCCCTTCTCCGAGCCCCGTTTTCTGTTTTCATCGTTTTCTGTGTTGATTTTTTGCTTTGCTTCGATTTCCATTTACTTTGCATTTTAGTTTCATTTATTTTTCCATCATGTGTCTGTTGTGCGTACGAGTATTTTTATTATCGTTGAGAAATTGGTTTTCCGCTTCCTTTCCCCCGTTTTGGGGTTTCCTTGGGGGGCCAGCCCCCTGTACAGGCAATTATTTTGTTATTCCTGGATGCCATTTGTCCTGCATTTGGTTGCATCGGAAACGTATTGTTTCTTCGAACGCGTTCCACTTCCACCATTCCATATCAGTAACAGTTCAAGCTTGTTCCACAACCAGTGTTCCTATTTTGGTGGTTCTGCACTATTTTTCCCCTAACTTGTATCAAATTTTCGGATGATAATAATTCTAAAAGGACAAACAGCGAGAAAACAAGTAATATTTTTGTGTCGCTGCTCGAACGGTCCCCTGCTGTCAGAGAAGCCCTGATTTATTCATCCGAATGTGTCAGCTTTCAGCATTTTCTGACGCAATACAGCAATACAATCAAATCAAGCCGAGGCGAGGCATTCCGCCATGTCGCAGTAATTTTGCATGACAGATTAATAAGCCCCTGCCGGCTTCCAGCCACCAGCCAGCAGCAAAGAATTGGCATTAAATTGTAATAAATAGGCAAGCAGCAAGCATCTTCTGTCCCAATTCATATGGCAAATCTCCAAGAAGCCAAGTGGCAGAAGGGGCAGAGAGCAGGCCTCGAATCGCCATGGCAGCAGAGGAGGGCAGAGGAGGAGGAATCTGGGGCTGGGAAACTGCGAAACTGAGCAACGTCTGCAGTTGAAACACGAATTTAATTTTCTACTTTTTTATTTTTATTTGTATTTGTATTTATTTTTTGCTCCTTGCTCCTTTTTTCGTACTTTGGCGTCTGGCAGACACAAACAGAATAACAAGCCGCAAGCCTGGGGCTGACAACTCTCCTTAAGCCACCTTACCTTGCCGCTTTTCCATCCCTCCCTCCATCCCTTTCTTTGGTTTTTTCTTTCGGTTTCCCCCCTCGCGGCTGCTCGGAAAATAGTGGAAACTTTTGATAATTACATTTGGCGGCTGTTGCTGTTGCTTTGGCAGCTGAGCCAAGAGCCAAGAGCCAGGAGCCAAGGAGGAGAGCAAAGCCAGAGGCAGGGGCAAATCCACAGAGGAAGCCAAGGTAAGGAAAGCCAAACAGCTGGGGATAAAATGGTTAAGGAACACCGGCTGAAAACTACAAATATGCGATGGATAGGCCACGGATTGTTCTCGTTGGAAGCCACAGCCCGCGGGCTGCTCTTTGCCGGAGGAATTACGACTAAAACTGATGTTTTAGAAGGATGATCCCTTCCTTCCTTCCTGGGCAAACGATCAAAGGGGATCCCCTAATAATGGGTAATGGGTAGCCGTACCTTCCTTTTGATTTCTAGCAGACCTGCAATTTCATCTAGAAATAGGAATGCTGGAATTCATTTCATTTTCATTCCATTTTATGCCCGCGAATCTTCCGTCTTCCTGCTCTTTGTGCATAAAACATTTCGAGGGTAGATTTCAGAGGGGCGCCACCTTCGGGCAATTTCTTAAACTAATTTGCCACGAGGCTGCCGTTGCCGCTGCTGCGGTGGCGTCTGCGGCGCTTGTCGTTGGCGGTTTTTGTGCCTTTTAAGTGTCTGTCCCGGACCCGTATACGGGTCCGCATCCTGGGGACCCCAAGTATGCAAAGTGGAAACGTTTACTGGCAACGGACCGCGGAGGGGGGGCATGGGGGCAGGGGTATGGCAGAACTTTTGATGTTTTTTTGTTTGCCGGTTGGTTCCGGGGATTCCGGGGATGCCGCAAAGTATGCGGCCATCAATCGGTCGTGGGTCTTGGCTCTTGGGTTGTGGGCATTTTTCGTAATATCCGGCTTGAGCATTTTTAATATAGTTTCGCACAAATTGATTGAAGGCGGATCGGACTGAATAGACGCCCCCCCCCCCCCAGTGGGGGGCTGGCAGAGTCGAGAGTTAATTGCTTTTTGCCCAGAAATATGCCATCACAAAGGAGGAAAGGAAACATGCATTCTACGAGTACAATGTACGAGTGTGCCTGCCTGCCTGCCACACATTGAGGCGTCTCTGGCAGGCAGCAGGAATTTAAATATGTAGTGCTCTGCCCCTGACAGCAGCTGAATGGCAGGGCGGGGCGTACGGATTCAAGATAAGCCCAAGTCCTAGACTAAATCGCAGGACAATTAAACTTTTAAGCAGGCAACGACCCAACGAGGGAGACGACAAACGGGAAAAGGGAAACGACAAATGATGAAATGCATGTAAATGGAAAATAAATATCAAAAGCAGCACAATAAAAAAAGGGAGTCGCCTGACACATGCCACAAACGGAGACGGGACAGGACAACGGGACAGCAGGATTCACCCAGGCACAATGGAAGCGGCACGACGAGATAGAGAGAGACAGAGAA